CCCGAAGTTCGGGGCTGAAAGCTCTTATTCCCCCCACCCATGGAAGCAAGCGGAGATCAGAAGCTGTGCTCCCCCCACCCGTGAATGGGTTGATTCTTTAGAGAGCCCCTCTCTCCCCACAGATAGCCTGGTCTTTGGCGAGAGGCTCAGCGTGGGGGTCACAGCCTCCTCCCCCTCGCGTCCGAGGATGCCAACGGTTGGATTAGGGCGGGGTCCTTCCTAGCCCACTTCCCCCCCAGATGGTTTTCATGAAGCCCCTCCAGGGTCTCCAGGCATTGGGTATTCAGGGTACAGTGCCTCTAAACGTGGAGGGTTTGTTGAGCTATTGTGGCTTATGCCAGCCAGTCGGATGATGAAGTCCTTCCTTGGCCTTCTGCCCTCCCCCCTTTGCCCCAGTTAGAGATCCTCCAGCCCCCTTTGTTGAGCAGATTTTCTGGGCTTTAGTACCCCTTGCCGAGGTGGGTCCACAGATGCCCTTGCAGGTTTCCAGACGAAGCTGCCCACGGCCTGCCGCAAGTTGTTCAGATCAGAGGCGGTTCACTCTCAGTTCCTGCCTCTGGCTCCCTTCTGACTCTCCCCACTTCTGCTTTTCTTTTGAGTCCAAGCAGAAGTTCAGGGCGGGTAGCTGAGGGGCGCTTAACCCATTCCCAGTCTTGTGTGACTCTTCCCCCTGCCAAAAGCGGCTGCCAACTGTGAAGAGAAGGAGGCAGGGCAGAGTGTTGGGACTTTATTTACTTATTTATTTATTAATCAAATTGATATATGCCACCCATCTCACCAGGTAAGTGGCTCTAGGCAGAATTACCCCCCACCCCCGTCCTTTTCTCTCAGCTTGGACCCCCAGGAGAAGACTCTGGGGGAGTTTGGATTTGTTTTGCCCCCGTCTTTCCTCCCTGAGCCACACTGGCTGTTTTAATGCCGTCCCTCCAGTTCAGGAGTTTGCTGGCGCTTTCTGCCATCCTTTTTTATTTTGCCACCCTGAATGACTGGGCATCACCTAAAACCTTGGCCGCTCCTGGCTCTGGATGATTTGGACTTCCCTCCACTATCCACGTTACTGACCTCATCTTCTTATCCCGAGGCTGATAAGTTTATCCAGAGCTTTGGGGAAGTCCAGATAAATCAAGGGTTTGGGCCCTTATCTTGCTGCTTGCTTGAGCCTCTGCAATCTCTGCCCAGCTGAGCTTCCCTCCTCCCAGCGGATGGCACCCCCTCTGGGCTGCCCTTTGGGCGAGGAGGCCAGTCTCTTCCCCATTTCAGAGGTCTCATGGCAGGGACCCTCCTCTGGGAGGTGGTTGCCTGGGTCCGGTGGGAACGCCCTCAGCCTCTGGCAGATCTCTTTCCCCATCATGCCACCGGGGCACTTACATTTTGCAGGGGGCTGCCTGCATTTGACAGCCGCTGCTCTGGGCCGGGTGCAGGAGGGGCTGTTCTGTTCCTGGGGGAGATGCGCAGCCTCGGCTTCCACTCAACCTGTGGAAGGGACAGGGAGGCCACCACCTGTCTGGGCAATTGGGCACAAAGTATGTTTTGGCCCCCTTGCCCTGGAAAAGGCCTTGGGGGGAGCCAGAGTGCCCTGCTTCACCTCTAGGAGCTGGGAAAATTAGGACTTTATCTGTTAAGTATATATTACTTTAAAAACGTTTCCGGAGTGGCTCATAAGGAGGTGGGAACAGAACAATACCCTGAAATACAAATGCCATTTTAATATCATGGGAAATAATGGCATTGCAGTTAAGTTAGAACAAGAATTTCATCCACTTTAAATGTCGCCCCTTCTCCCCCAGTGGTGTTTGGGGTGGGGGCTGAGCAGTAGATGTGTTTTCCTTCCCCTCAAATGGGTGAAAAAGCAATTCCTTGTCCCTCTCTCCAGCCAATTGCTTGCTTGGGCTAAGTAAAAGTAATGCACAGGGGAGGGTAAAATTAAGCTTGAGGTGTGTTCTGAGTGACCAGTTTAGTTGACCAGAGAAATGCAGACATTATCAAGATTCAGGAAGATTTTGACAGGAAGGTGCAGTGCACAGAAACAAACTGAGGGTCCTTCATTTATGTAAAAATATGAAGGCGTGAGTTCAGGATGGCAGGGTTGTGTGGAGTACATGAAAGAAGGATTTGGGTGCCTTGCTGGATCACGCCTTGAACAAGAGCCCGAAGTGTGATGCTGCTGCAAAAAAAGCAAATGCAATTCTAGGCTGCATCATCAGAAGCGTAGCATCAAGATCAAGAGGGTCTGTTGTTCCTCTGTACTGGGCTGGTCAGACCACACCTAGAATATTGTGTCTGGGCGTCACCTTTTTGGAAGGTCAAGGAGAAACTAGAGCATACCCAAAGGATCTGAACCAAGGTGGTGGGGCCTGGAGGGAAAAAACATTGGAGGCACTGGGTAGATTTAGCTGGAGAAGGAAAGTCTTCGGGGGACCCGATAACTGCCTTCAGTGTCGTTAGAAGACGAGGTGGAAACATTCGGGGTCGCTCCGGAAGACAAGGCAAGAAACTGGGTTTCAATGGCAAGGAAGTTGCCTTCAGCTGGAGGCCAGGAAAAATTTCCTTGTAATGTTGTTCAAGAGTGGACCTGGCTGCCTGGGGAGATGGTGGACTCTTCTTTGCTTAAGCAGAGGCCGGGTGGTCATCTGTTGGGGAGAATGGAATGGTGGTTTCTGCACCGGGCAGGAGGCTGGACTAGATGATCTCTGAATTCTCTTCCCACCCCGACATCCTTTGATTCTTTTATTTGTTTTTAACTGTATCTTCTGATTATGGCTGAGGATGTTTGGGGAGGAATGTGGGGCTAAGGGTGTTGGGGTGGGAGCTGTGGAAGAAGAGGAGGGAGCAATCATTGTCTAACGAGCAAGAATCGCAATGGGAAGGAAAGGGAGGGAGCCCCAAAGAGAAAAGGCTGTTCAAGAAAAACCTTGCCTGCCAACAGTTTGGAAGACCCCCAGGTGAAGAAGACCTCCCGCCTGCTGCCTCCCGCAACCATGGCTCCTACTCTCACCACAGCCCACCAGCGCCGCTGGTGGATGGCCTGCACGGCCGTGGTAGAAAACCTCTTCTTCTCCGCCGTCCTCCTGGGTTGGGGATCCCTCCTCATCATGCTCAAGTCAGAGGGTTTCTACTCCTACCTGTGCTCCCTACCAGGTAAGAAAAATCTTTGTGGGGGAGCGGGATTTTGCTGGCCCAGCTTGACCCTCCTGAGCACCAGGCGTTTGCCACATGGGCTCCAGGGGTCTCCTGGGCAAGTCACCCCCCGTCTGCTCTGGTGGGGAAGTGGCTCTGTGAGGAGGGGGCAGCTCTTGAGGCCACGAGGTGAGAGTGGCCCTGCTTAGGGGGGCATCTGCTAATCAGAGAGCACAGAGGGATTTGTTGCAAAGGGCTGGTGCCCCGGTCACCTCTGCTGTTCCTGCTCTCAGTCCAGGAAGCCTCTAGGTTCGTCTGGAGGAAAAGCCGAGCTACTTGGCTTTTGGACCGGGAGGGGACAGGTTGGCCTTTGGACCCCTCCCCCGTATGTTGGGGCACTTTGACCTTGCTGTCCTTTTTCTCCTTGGAAGTTGCAGTCGTGGTAAAAAGCAGCAACAGCCTGTTCCAAAGATATCAGCAACAGTGGGCAAGATTTGGGGCTGCAAGGCTAGGCAGGGGGAGCAGAAAGCTCTTGCGGGCAGGCCTCCATTCCTCCTTGCCCCCCCCCCATCCTGCCCTTTGGACCCCAGTCAATCTTTTACAGGGTCTGAAGAGGTGCCTCGTTAGCGCTTTGGCGGGACCTTGATAAAAAGCTGCAGTGGCAGAAATTTCATCCAGGAGGGGAGATGATAAGAACCCCGCAGGACTAGCTGATCCTAGGCTGGCAGGAGAAGGGCGGGGCACTAGCTGATCCTAAGCTGGCAGGAGAAGGGCCAGGACCCAGCCCCCAGATGGACGGGAAAGAGCTGGGCCTGCGGGCTAAGGCTGTCCCCTGATGCACCTCAGCGGGAGGAAGACCCATGGCGAGAGCCAACACGGCTGCCCTCCATGTCAGCTTGGGCACCGTGGCCTTCCCTGCAGCCATGCCGGGCTTCCTTGGGGTCGCCTGGGCCACTGTGTATGCCCAGCTGCCTGGGACGGGTGCTGCAGTTTAACCTGGCAGGCTAGTCCAGAGACGCCTCCGGCTCCACGGCTCAGTTTCACCCCAGTTGAAGCCCTCTGAACAGCAAACTGGAGCGAAGCCTTCCTCTTTTTGTCGCCTGTCCTAAGCGAACCACTGAGTTTTGAGAAGGGAAAGCAGCCGCGGCTGATCTTTCCTGAAAGGGAGGAAGGGACTCGGTTTCTCTCCTTGAGCGCCGCCTTCTTCCTCTCCCTGTGAAGCAGCCCTGGCCGAGTTTCACTAGGCTGGTGGCACCCCGTGGGGGGGCTTCCTCTGGCATCTCCTGCAGCAGAGGGGAAGGGGGAGGAAGAGCAGTGGGCACCCGGCACCGGGCCGTTGGGTCTCTGCCTTCTGGGAAAGCCCTCCTGTCTTTCGGGCGCCTTCCCTCGGCTCCAGCCAAGCCAAACGGCCTCCCCTGCATCTTATTGCCAGCTGCCTCAGCTTGAGGGTCTCCTTCTGAGCTGGGGGCTCCAGCACGGAGGGTCCCAACGTGCCATCCAGCGGTGAGCTCTGACCGGGGCTGGGTCCCTGCGGAGCCGGCAAGCAGAAGTCTGCTGGCGGTGTCTGGCTCTCGGCTGCTGTTTGCTGGCCCAGCTCTTCCTCAGAGGAGGAGGAGGAGGAGGGGCAGCGGTGCCAGGGAGGCCAAGCGTGTGTGTGAGACTAGGGTGTGTCCTCCAGGACCGGCAGCAGCCGGATTCCGGCCTCCTCGCAGCAACTTTGCTCTGCTCAGAATCAGCCGCCTGCCCACGGAGCTGGCGTTTTCCACTGAAGTGCTGAGTCGCCTCCCCTTAACGTCTCCAGCAGGGCTCCGATCAGGGGCCTGGCAGCCCTGCCTGCGACTGCCTTCCTTCCCGCCGGAGGGGGGCAAGCGGCGAAGGCCATGGGGGCAGGGGCTTCTGGCTCAGGACTGCCGTGAGGTCCTGCCTGCTCCCTTCTCTTCCTGGACTGGCGAAAGCTGACGAGCATGATCTGGTCTTGGCTGACGTGGCCTTGCCTCGGGGACAGCCATCTCTTCAGGAGTGGGGCAACGGCCATGGGGCCAGAGGAGCCCCCCCACCTCTGCCACAGCCCTTTGGGGTTGCCGGGGCATCCCGTGGCTCATCCCTAGAGTCTGCCTTAGCAGCTTGGCTGCAGCCCACTCTTGCGCAGGTGGAGCCCAGGGCCCGTCAGCACCGCAGGCACCCCAGCACTTGGCAGTCAATACTGTGGGTGGCACCGGGCCCCAACTTGATTCACAGGCCGGCTGGGAGGAAACGGGCATTCTGCTCTGGACGGCAGCTCCCGGACGAATCGGAAACGGGGCAGTCAGATTTGGGTTGTAGGACCCAGGCGGCCTCTGGTGAATTGAGAATGGGAGGGAGGGTTGACAGGGAGGAGCCGGAGCCACAGGGCCCGGCTGGGAGAAACTCTCTGCAGGTTCAGGGGTCCCCTCCTTGTTTTAACCTCCCTTCTCAGGTGACATTCAGGCAGTGCTTGTGTCTGGTCCTGCTCGAGCTTCACTGAGCACTTTGAGGCATTTTCGAAAGATGTGTTTTTTCTGCAAAGCCAGGGTTTCTCAAGCCTGCACCTGTCCCCCCCCCCCCCCCCCCCCCCCAAGCAGGCTCTGGAGAGGCATTGAGCCAAAAGACACACACAGCCAAGGGCACCTTCTGTGAATCGTTTCAGGAGTGTGTGCATGAAACAGGGTGGCTTAATTCTCCCCTTTCCCGTGATGGTTCAGATTAAACCTGCCCTCAGGAGGGGGGAGCCCGGGGATGGTGCTGAGGGGTTCTGCCCTAAGGCCGGGATTGCAGCGGGGATGGAATGGTTAGCCTGCCCTGGGCAACGTGGCTCCCCTCCTCTCCAGTTCCTTAGAGGAAGGAACCCAGAACGTGCCAGATGGTGTTGTGTAACTCTTTGGGGAGCTTAGTGGCGGGTGCACTTTAGAGGCTGACCAGCGTGGTGGTGGGTCTGGCCCCGTGTTGGCCCAAAGCCCCCTGGTCTCCAGCACAGGGCACCACCCCGTGCCCTTTCTGTCCTCCAAGGAAGGTGGCTGGCTGGCTTAAGGCCGTGGCTTATCAAGGGCAGTGGGAACTCATGTCCCTGCCAGCCCAACTGTGTTTTCACTACAAACACAGGGCCTGTTTGTGGTAAAGCGGCTGCTGGGATTTAAAAGCTCTGGGAGGGGGCAGTTTGGCAGTTGGGAGTAAGAGCCCGCAGGAAGGCCTCCCTCTTGCTGGCACACCAACACAGGTGTGCCCTCCTGCCTCCCAGTGCCACCTGCCTGCCCGCCCAGAGGCTTCTGGGCACCTACTCACCAACTGCAACTTTCCCCTTCTTCTGCCTTCTATGCCAGCCTCCCACCATCAGTGTATGCACACACACGCGCACACACACACACACGGCTCTACCTGTTTCTTCTGTGTCTCTGGCAGGTTAGTTAATATTTCTCCAGAGCCAGAGCTGTGAAAGTGGTCTCACGGTTGGGGGCGGGGGGGGGGGCATCCAGCATTAACCAGCTGCAGCCGGCTTGAAATATCCTGAGGTGGATGTGACATGAGGGGTAACCAAGGGAGCGGCCAAGGGCTGAGTCTGTCTGCGCAGATGGGCCGGCTCTCCGGGGTTTCACAGCTCTTCCTGGGACTGTGCGTCTTATTCCGTTGTGCATCTCGAGAGGCCCTGGTGGCAGGGCTGGAGGGGGTGGCTGGCCCAATGCCCCCCTCCTTGGCGGTTTGGCGAGGAGAATTTCAGTCTGGAGGGGCTGCACACATCTAGCGTGCTTCCCTGCCCCTGTAGGCGGCCATCCGGCCTCCGCTTAAACCCCTTCAGCAGAGGACCATTTGCCATCCTCTGAGGCAACCTGTGCCATTAGTGAATGGCTCTTACCCCAGGAACCTTTTCCCACTCCCTTGTCACTGAGAGACACTGTGCCTACCCCCTGTTCTGCCCGTCTCCCACCTGATGGCCCTCCAGATGCTCGGAGGAGACCCCCCTGTTGCCCCACAGTCTCTGGGCTAAATATAACAAACATCACACTATTGGCCCACGTGCAGCTTGTGATTTACCAAGCCACCCTAATCATTTTGGCATAAACTTTGACTTTTCCTATCCAAATGTAGGACTTTCCCTTTGTCCCTGTTGCAGTTTGTCTTGCTGGTCTCTGCCTCCGGTCCCCTCTTATCATGATCCCTTGAATCTTGATAGTGTGCGCTAAGGTGGCTGCTCCCTCCCCCTCCATCTTTGTGCCAGTGGCATTTCTTGCCCCTCGCCGAGCCCCTCATTTGTAAATATGTTGAACCACACAAGGCTTAGGATGGCGCCCTGTGCTGTGCCCCTCAACGCGGCCTTCCAGCTTTGATGTACCCACATTAAGTGCCATTATTTCACCAACTCTGGGGCCACAGCCCACCTTTGCCACCTCCTTCACTAGAATTTCACTGTGAGATAGCTTGAAGTCAAGGCACGCCACATCCACTGAAAGACTGGGCCGGTTTGCAATGACCTAGTCTCGATAAGCCCTTGCAGACTCCTGCCAGGTGCTGCATGCTTTCCTAAATGCTCACAAACTGATGCTTAAATAATCTGTTGCAGCGTGTTGCCTGGCACTGCTGTCAAGCGTGCTGACCTGCAATCCCCCCCCCCGTTCTTTTTCTCCCGTTTGGCAGAAGGGAGCAAGAGTGCCCTTCGCCAGTCCTCTGATGCTGTGCCCGTCGTCCACAGTTTCTGAGATCCCAGAAAGGGGCTCTTGAGATGACATTTGCAAACTGCTTCAGGACTCAGATGTCACTGATCTGGTCCTAGAGACTCGTTATTTATTTGTTTATTTAAAGTTATTGGCCGCCCAGTTCTCATGACTCTGGGTGGCGTACAAAACGAAATTGTGTAAAACTAAAAAACCGAGCTCAGGTTAATCCCATTCCTGGTCACCATCTTGGATTGCCCTGCCTGCCTCTCTCCTTCCGGTAGTTGTTTTGCCCATTTGAACCCAATTCCCCTCTGGGGAGAAGACCAAAGCAAAGGAGTTGCTGAGGACTCTGCCTTCTCCCCGTTACTTGCTTCTGCCCCCCTTCCTCTCTCTTCCTTTTGCTGCTGATGTAGCCAAAAAGGTGGCGTCCAGCTTCCCTTGCCAGCCTGGGCTCCTTCTGCACGTGAGTTTTTCTGACTTGGTTTCTGCAGGTATCAGCTACTTGCTGACAGATCTCCTTGGCAATTAGGCCTGTCTTCCATATGGTCCCTTTTAACTCTTAGCTAAGTCAGAAGCTCCCTGTGAACACACAACCTTCCTGATTCAAAAATAACTTATTTCTGAGGAGTTCCCAGCCCCTTCGTGCATGGGACCCAGCCCAGAACTTTGTTGAACTTGGATCTCTTGCAGTTGAGTGTGCTCCATCGTCTACCTCTGTATTAGTTTGAACCGCATGATGACATGTTCACGTCCTCCCAAACTTCCCACAGCTTTTCCTTCTGCGAGCACCTTTCCCCTGCTGGCCAGGGTCTGTTTCCCTCGTCTCTTCTTCTCCCCTAGAAAGGGAAACAGCCAGCCAGACCTAGATGAGTTGGTTGTGCCACCACAGGTGTCCTGAAATCCGGTCCAGGTGGGCCTGATTGAGGCCTTGGCTTGAGGGTCTCTTGCCAATGTCCTTTATATTGTTGCCCAAAGCTCTGGACTGGACCCACCCGTTCCAGTACCTGGATCCCAACACACACGCGTGCCTCCTTCACCTATAGTGCCTCTCCTTCTCCTCTTTGGCTTGCTGTTGCTTTGGAAGTAGTTGTGCCCTTCAGTTCCACTCCGGGTTTTAGGAAAGCCTTCCACTGGCCTTCCTGCATGAAGAGGTCTGCTGCCTGGTCCTCGTCTGAAGCCCGTGGCCCTTGCACCTTCCGGCTCTCGGCTGGCATCTTTTGTGTGCAAAGGCTTGAAAGGCCTTCCTGCCACGGCACGTAAAGGCTGGCATCAGCAACAGGCCCTCTTCGCCTCAATCTCCCTACATTCTGCACTGCCCACCCCCCTCCCTGCTAGAACTGTCTTGGGCAGACTGCAGCCCCTTTTAGCTTGGTGACCCCTACCCTGCCTGGCAGCAGCGGGTCTCGGGAAGAGTCTCTCCAGAGGGAGCTGGAGATGCTGGAAGCCCTGCAGCTCTGCTCATTCGCCGAGGGCCTGTTGTAGGTGCCCCGGAAGGGAGGAGGCCCAGCTGGGATCCACTAGGGCCCGTCTTCTGGGTGGGGGCTCCAATGCAGGGACTTTCCTCCTCTGGCAGGTACACCATGTACCTGATTTGGCTGCTTTGAACTTAAAAACCCATTTCTATACATTAGCCTTCCCTTCTTAATGGAGGTTTTATATTACTCACACACGATGACTGTTCCGATAACATGGTTTTATTGTTATTTATTGCTTGTTTTTATTCTTTTAAATTGATGGGTGTATTGTTCAAATTGATATTGTAAGCCAGGGTGGGTTGGTCTGCTGGGAGCATGCGGTTACACAGTACGTAATAAATAAATAAAGAAGACGACCAACGAGGGGAGCTGTGCCACCAAGTCACAGGCCTGGAGGCCTTGCCCTCTTCCCCCACTGCACCCCAGGCAAGGGGTCCCCGAGCTTTTGAAGAACAGGGCACTCCTAGCAGAAGGGGTCCTTTCACAACTGCCCACTCCATGTTTTCTGCTCCCTTGTGGCTTACTTTTTCTCTGGGCAGGATTGGCATGCCTCCAACAAACCTTTGGGGCACAGTGGCCAGTCTCTTCCTCCCACCCCAGGAAAGCTTCTGGGCCCATTTGGGTCCCTTCGAAATAAAGATGAAGCCGGTACTTTGCTTTGAAACACGCCAGACGCTCTTGTTTAAAATCAAAACATTTTTTTTAAGCTTAGAAAGTCCAGCTGGTGAAGTCCAGGGAGGTGACTGCAGGCCAGCTGACCCAGTCCAAAGGCAGCACCTCTCTGCACTTGGCAAAGCTGGCGCGGGTGGTGAGGACCAGTTCCAAGGGCAGCAGATGGGCCTCCTGGAAGGCGTCCATGCGACACCCCTCTTTTTCCTGCAGAGAATTCGACGGGATCGGCCAGTTCTACCTTGGCCCCCGGGAACCAGACTGCAGCCTCGGAGCCGGAAGTGGCCCGCATGAACGGCTGGCTCATCTGTAAGGAGCAGGATGAGATGCTGAACCTGGCTTTCACCGTGGGCTCCTTCCTGCTGAGTGCCATCACCTTACCCCTGGGCATCGTCATGGACAAGTATGGGCCACGCAAGCTGAGGCTGCTGGGCAGGTAGGCGCTGGGGCAGGGAGCCGGCCAAGCCGCGGATTCTCAGGGACAAAGCAGAGGCGCCTGCAGCCCCCCAGCCGGGCAAGCCCTTCCCAGTCAGGACATTTGGGCCCCGCCAGGGAAATCTGCCTGGCCTCTCCGGAGCCTGTGGGGCTGGACCCTGGCTTTGCCTTCCATCACTCAGGCTCCCCAGGAAAAACACCCTTGCTCCCCGGGCCCGATCCTACTCGCTGCTCTGGCGGCAGAGAATCGCCCATCCCGAACGGTGGGGAGAATGCTGGTGCTCGCGGGCCCAGGGAGGGAGAGGGAGCCAGGAGAGAAGACGGCCCATCCCTGGTTCTTCGCTGGTGGCTTCGTCTCTCGGATCCCCTGCTCAGAGCCTCAGTGGAGAGCGACTAGGGCAAGGGAGGTGTTCAAGGGCGGGACGCGGGGGAGACCCGCTGCTGCTTCGAGGACCCCAGATAGCTGGGCTGAGAAGGGAAAGGAAGGGAAGGGGCAAGGGGCCGGGGGTACGATCCAGGCCACTGATGGGCCTCCCTCTGCGCCATTGCAGCGCCTGCTTTGCTGTGTCCTGCGTGATGATCGCCTATGGGGCCAGCAACCCAGACTGTGAGTGTGTGGCTCCGGGTGCTGCTGGGGATCCATGCCCAGCTGGGGGGGCGGTGGACTTCCTGCGGGCATGGCGGCTGCACAAGCCGTCCCTCCTGCCTACAGCCTGGTCTCCTGTGCGGGCGGCTGTCGGCAGGGACTGGGTGGCCGTTCAAGTGCTTTTCTCTTCTGCCTGTCTGTAGCTCTGTCGGTGCTGATCTTCATCTCGCTGGCGCTGAATGGCTTTGGGGGGATGTGCATGACCTTCACGTCTCTCACGGTAAGCGCCAACTTCATTGCTGGGCAGGGCAAGCTGTTGTCCGATCTCAGGTAGAGCGGCTGCTGCTGCTGAGCTGGCATGGCCCCCCCAGCCCTTCTGCCACCTTGTTTGTGCCGAGGTTGCTTGGCCAGGTGGGTGATGGGCACTGAGGACAGTTCCCCAGGGACAGCAGCACAGATGGCTGTCCAAGCCTGGTTAAACCCGCAGGAGAGCCCTGGAGCTGGACCGGACCTCCGCCTGGCCTGACCCAGCTGCTCCTCTGGTGGCCACCCACCAGATGCAGCCTGGGCTCCTGCTGGCACTGGGGATCCAGGCAACCAGGAGCACTGAGCAGGTCCCCTCCCTTCTCTGCCCCCTCCGGCCACGTGGGAAAGCCCACGAAATGGCCAAGGGGGCCGTTCCCCTTGCAAGGAACTGCCGCAGCATTAGAACTTGCCAAAAGGGGGGGGCGTCCTGCCTCTTTCAAAATGCCAGTCCTCCATGCAGCTGTGTGTGTGGGGGGGTTAGGTGGAGAGAAGGCGGGCCTTGGTTGCTCAGGGCTGGTGGTTTTGATTCGCTGTGACATCTCCAGTGCCTGCATTTCTGAGCTGAAGGGGAATTTAGTGTTGCAAAGAGCGCTGAATGCCTTCCCCTCTGGAGTGGGGCAGGGCTCCCCCCACACTTTCGCTCTCCCCCCCCCCGCTGCAGCGGTTCATTAATTCAGTTCTGAGTGTACCTGATGTCAGTGCTTTCTGTGAGGGTTTTCCCCAGATTGTTCCCGGAAGTGGATGAACAGCTTGATGGATATGCCCCGGATTGGTGCTGTGCCTGCCCCACAGCCCCCCACTGCTGGAGGGGATTTGGGGGGGTTCCCGTGCCAAGCCCCTAGGAGGGGAGGGGTGAACAGGAGCCCTGCAGAGGCTGGAGGTGGGAGCGGCTGCTCTGGTGGGCCCAGCCTTGGCCAGGGCTCCTGGCACCCCCTGAAGGTCCCACCAGAGGTCCCAGGGCAGGTGATACCTGAGCTCCTGGTTCCAGCAGAGTGAGGTCCCAGCTGGGCTGACGCCACCCGGGGTCCCCTTGCCTGCCTGGGGCTGGTGTAGAACTCATGGGCTGGGGTGACCCCTCCTCCCTGGCTCTGCCCTTAGTTGCACTGCAGCTCATTTGGGGGAGGCTTTTTTCCAACCATTCCGGGCCAGATCAAAAAGTGCCGCACCTTGAAAAGAGCCGAAGGCCTGCCCCCACACCCACGCCTGGCCTGACCTGCCCAGCCCTAGGCCCAGCCGTGCAGAAGCTGTGGAAGGGCCTGGGCGAGGGGCTCCCCTCCTCTCCATGCACCTTGCCGTCTTCGAAGCCAGCAGTTTCCCCTGCTCTTGCTCCTGAGTCGAAGGGCAGCCTTGCAGACCCCTCCCTCTGCCCTCACGCCTGTCACCCCCCACCCTTCCTCCCTTCTCAGCTGCCCAACATGTTCGGCGACCTTCGCTCCACCTTCATTGCCCTCATGATTGGCTCCTACGCCTCATCGGCAGTGACTTTCCCCGGGATCAAGGTAAGCTGGGGCACTGCCGGGAGAAGGGGGGAGTGCAGGCTGGGAATGGGAATCCAGTTCCACTCCTCTCCCCTGGGGACTAGAGAGCACCCCAACTCCCCAACGGTTCACAAGCCACCAATGGGAACAGCGTTCATGTATTTATTTATCCAACTTAGATGCCGCCAGGAATTCAGAATTGCTCCTGCACAGATAAAAGCAAAATGCCTGATGGAATTTCACGCCCACACACACCCCATGGTTCGCTTCTTGCGTGGTTCCTGGAGGTTGTGTGGCAAATGGCGATCCATTTCCACCTTGTTTCGTGGAAGCCATGTGGTGTTTCCAGGCGGGCTGGAAATGCGGCTGAGTTGGCTGTGGGCATAGCCTGATGTGGGGAGGAGGAGGGGGGGTGCTTGGCCACCCTCGTGGGAGAGCCAGCCAGCAGCCCAGGCCCACCAGGAGCAGCCTGAGCTCAGCCTGTAAGCCCGAGCCGTGGCCGGCCTGGGACTAAGCGTGGTTAACGTGATGGGCAGGCCCAGCCTTGCTCTCCGGCCTTGGGCCCTGCGGGGGCCCTGGTAGTTCAAGGGAGGCAGCGGTCGGCAGCAGCTCTCGCCCGACACGGGCAAGGCGACTCAGGGTTGATCCACAGTGGACTGATTTCAGCTGGCAGCTGGTCTGCAGGACGTCTCCAAGAATGGCTGACGGCAACGCCACCCCCTTGTTTTCATGGGGGTCATGTTGCATTGCTTGGACTAAGGTTGGCAGTTGGAGCAAATGGGGGGGGGTGTTGAGGCTCATCTCCATGTTGTCTTTGGTATCCGGTACCCAAGGAAAGACTCCTCCCGCTTCAAGGGCTTCAGAGGAATTCGCTGCCGCAAGATAAACCCTAACCCTGCCTTAACCACTTCCATTTGCTATGTGCACCTCTTGTCCCCAAACCCAAAGGCTATGCCATTCTTAATGCGAGGGTCTGGCTTACAGCCGCTAACCACCCAGTCCCATGTTAGCCTCTCCGAGCCTGCTGCCACGATGCTTGGCCCTGGAGGTGTTGCCCATGGGGGAGGGCCCCTTGGGGGCCCTGCCTTCCCACGAACCCGCCCGGTGCCTCAGGCCAAGGCCCCCCACGTGACCCTGACCATTGCTCCTCGATCTCAGCTCAGCCAGAGCTCTTCCCAGGTGCTTCTTCTGCCCCCAGGTGATCTATGACCTTGGAGTCTCCTTCATCCTCATCCTGCTCGTTTGGGCCGGCTGCGCAGGGCTAGTCTTCTTCAACTGCTTCTTCAACTGGCCGCTCGAGCCGTTCCCAGGTCCCGAAGACATGGACTACACGTGGGTTGCCCGGGGGCAGGAGTGGCAGGGCTGGGGTGGGGAAGGGGCTGTGCGTCCTGCCCGAGGGCCCCTCACCCCTTCCCAGAGCCATGCAGAACCTCAAGTAGGAAGCATGGGCAGGGCCATGCTAGGAGCTACCCTTTTGCCCAGCTGCCCAGGGCCTTATGGTCCAGCCGGGCCCCCTCCCGGTGAACGGAAGGAGCGGGGTGCTGGAGCTGCCGCTCTGCCGTGAGCAGCCTGGCTCTGCAGCAGCTGGTTCTCCCACCCCCGGCTGCGGTCTCCCTACCCTTTTGTTGCTGGGGATGCCCCTTCCCCAGAGGGAGGGGTTCCCTGGCACGTGCCAGATGCACAGACCTCGCTTCCGAGCTTAGGATGGTCAGGGGGCAAGAGCCAGCGAGGGCCAACCTCTCTGCCACCCAGGGTGAAGATCAAGTTCAGCTGGCTGGGCTTCGACCACAAGATCACGGGGAAGCAGTTCTACAAGCAGGTGACAACGGTCGGCCGCCGCCTAAGTGTGGGCAGCTCCATGAAGAACAACAAGGAGGTTGCGGCGCTGCAGGACAGCAACAAGCTGTGCTTCTCCACGGTGGACCTGGAGGTGAAGTGCGAGCCGGACAGTGCAGGTGAGCGGCAAGCGCGCTCAGCTCAGGAAGGTGGGGCGTCTCCCTGGCTGGCTGGCTGGCTGGCTGGCCACACGCGGTTTGGGGGCTGCTCGGGGTGCCGGGTTCCTGGTGCGCTGTGGCTTTAGAGGAGGGGTCTCTCCATTAGCCAGCCCCCGCGTCGCTCCCTCTGGGAAGAGGATCGTCCTTGGAACACCCACGCCAAGTAGCAAGCATTGCTCACCTGTCTTGTATTCGTAGAACTGGGAGGTGCCTCGGGTGAACCTTCTCTGTGCCGTTGTCCCGGGGTCTGGTCCGGCCTTCGGGGGCAGAGGGGAAGAAGTCCGCTTCCTCTTCTGTATAACAACCCTTCAGATATTCTCAGTGAGCCGAGAAGGAAGGGTTGGCGAGGAGACATTTTTCTTCTTGTTGTAATAAAAGAGATTTGGTTGAAAATATTGCTCCCATGGAACTCAGTTCCACAAAGTGTGGTGATGGTCCCTGAAAGGGAATAGGCTCAAGGCTTTGTTCAGAAGTGGGTCCAAGGAGGTTGCTGCTTGGACAGCCGACATGAAATCTCTCGGCACGTGCTCAGGCGGGATCTTGGATCAGGCAACTTTGCCCTGATCCCACCAGGCAATTCTTGCAGGGGTCATGCTGGGGCCCTGAACGGCCAAGCTGAGGCAGAACTGGGGGTTTGCAAGCTCTATGGACCAAAGAAATGTGCCCATCTGACTGGTATGCGGGATTCCGGAGGGCATTCTCCTGGAGAAAAGCTGACAGGCTTTCTTTCTTTCTGCCCCCCACCCCCAATTCCCCATGGCAGCCTCCCCATCATTCATGCACAGCGTCTTCAGCCCCATCCTGCTGCTCAGCCTTGTCACGATGTGCGTCACGCAGCTGAGGCTCATCTTCTACATGGGTGCCATGAATAACATCTTGGAGTTCCTGGTGGAGGGCGATCTGGAGACAGGTGGGTGTCGTCTTCTGCCCGCGGGAGACCTGGGTTGGGGCTGGCAGCCCTTGGGAGGAGGGAGCTTGGCTCCATCTGGCTGACCTCTGGCGCCCTGGCCCAGGCCCTGGAAGACATCTCAGTTACTGCAGTGGCCTGTGGGAGTGACCCTGGGAGACAGCAGGAAGACCCGCGGCCCAGCCCGTGGTCCGATAAGAGGCCGCTGAGTCCCAGGCGAGGGGAAAGCGTGGGAAGCATTTCAGAAGGGACCCTCCCCAGTTTTCCTGAGTCTAACAGAGAGAAGGGAGAAATTTCCAGCCTTGCAGGATCCTGCTAATGCAGCCTTAATAGCCTCAGTTCACCTGGGGATCCTTCTTGCCTAGGCTACCTTGCAAGGTTGACCGTTGTTTTCTGGCTGCTGGTCCCTAAAGCACCCACAGCCACCGGTTAGGTGGGCCCCAGCCAGGCCCTTCTGCGTGCCCTCGGGGCGTAACTGAACCCAGACACCTCAAATCTTGACCCCAGCCCGTCTTGGACTTCAGCTGCTAGAAGTCTCAGTGGCCACGCTGGCGGGCGGCTCCAGGCATAGACGTATCTGCAGGGCACATTTGCAGAGGGTTTCAGATGGCCACAGCATACTTATGTTGAAATGCGCCTTGTTGGGAAGGCAGTCTGTGTGTCTGAAAGAAAGCAAGGTGGGCAGGGGGCTTCCCGATAGTCCCTGTTGCCCAGACCTGTGCTGTCTGCCAGGGACG